CGCTGTCCCGATTTACATCTCCGTCGTGCTTTGACAGGGAGGGATGGGAGCGGAAGCCGTTCATAAATTATGCGAAGAATCCGAAAGACGCGTACAATTACCGTGAGAGGGAGTGAGGGAGGGAGCGAGAGAGAAGGCCCTCGTGTCGTGTTCTCCAACGCAAGATGGAGAAGCGGAGTCGAAAGAAGAATGCGCGAGGGAGGATTTCTGGAGGCTGGTGGAGAGAGAGGCAGTGTCTGAAGAGGGACAGGACATAGTCATGATGGAAGGACGGAGATTTAACAATGTTACAATGAACGAACGACCGAGCGAGCAGAGCAGAGCGAGCAGAGCGCACCCGTCGCCTCCCCGGCCGCGCCGCGCGCCGCGTCGGCGGAGCCCCGGGATCGCAGATTGAATTGTAAAATAACCGAGAGGGGAACAATGCGCCCCGGTACAACATTGTGTTTGCATTTAAATAATCCGCGAGCCCGCGGGTACGTAATCCGGAGAGCGCCGTCGCGACTTCTCTCTCTCGTCCCCGTCCATCCATATCTCGCGCGCGTGCAATCTCCGACGACGTTCGTCGTCTAAGTTCTCTCGCAATGACATTTCTCGAACGATCGCATCTAATTACGACTACATCGAGATTATCGGTGGTGTAAACAATTAATTTAATTATTAAATCTAATTGAATTAAGTTCCCCGTTGAGCGCGGCTGAGATTAATCGAAGAACAATTACAGCGAAACTTCTGAGTAATCTGATTAACGATATCGGGATCGCGATGTTTTGACAACTAGATAAGAATCTAATTGTTAAATTTAATTGAATTACATTTTGAAATTAATAGGCAATTGAGACGATATTTAACGTCATCGAGGACCGAATATCTATTTTATTTATCTTTTTGTCTATACAGAAGCTTTACTGGCGAAATTAAAAAGACCTTTTATGGTAGTGGAATGTGCTTTATTAATGCGAGTGAGAAAGAAACCATTATTAAAGTTACACGAGTAATCACCATAAATTAGATAAGGGGCCTGTTCTCAGAATCTCTTCTAATTTGGATGACTTTTAAATAGCTTTCGCTAACACAAGTCGAGTTGGCGAGTATCTCGCGATCGTCGCGACGATCGAGCGACCGACCGACCGACCCGTTCGTTCGGCCTGCACTATAATTGTAAGTAGCGAGTAATTAATGCGGTCGATTCGAGTCCGATCCATCCGACCGCTAACCAACGGAATCCGCGGCGCTCGCCGAAGCGCGGGCGGCAGAGGGAAAACGAGGGATGGAAACGGGGGAAACTCGCGACGGTCGGGGGGCGGGGGCGGGAAGGAGAGGGAGAGTTGTTCCGGGTCGGGTACCGACATTGTTTCACGGTGGATGAGAATTTAATTTGCACGGTACGAAGAGAGGAAACGGTGGAGGACGAGGAGAAGGTGGAGGAGGCGGATGAGAGAGTAAGAGAGACAGGGGCAAAAGAGGAGAGAACGGGAGAAAGAGCGAGAGAGAGAGAGAGAGAGAGAGAGAGAGAGAGAGACAGAAGGAAAGAGAGAGAAAGAGAGAGGGAGGAAGAGAGGGAGGACGCTCGGATGGGTGCTGCCTTGTTTAAGCGTGGGTGGGGGTGTCAAATTGAATTACCCCCTCGTACCACGACTCCCCGGGGACGTTTGCCGGGGCGCTGGCGCTCTCGCGCTGCCTCCGGTTGTCGGGGGTTGCATCGGTATCCGTGTTCGCGTTGCGCGTGTACGTGTGTGCAGCGACACACACACATACACACACACACACACACACATACGCGCGCGCGCTACCTCCTCCGCGGAGGCGTTTTCAATTAAAATCAACACCGGGGGTTGGCCCCGACCCCGTGTCCCGCTCGCTCCTCTCTTCGTCGACACGGACCGTTTTGATCTCTCCTCTTAATCGGCGTACCTGTTCCGCGATGCATTCCCTCGTCCCCCTTCCCCAAGTCACCTTCCCGAGACTCTTTCGCCCACCCTCTTTCTCCGCGACGCGTTTCTGTTGTCTTATGTGCATTGCGTTATTAACTCAATATTGTATAACTACATTACGTATATAACCGTGTATAACTATGCATGATAACGGCCCGAATTTCGTATTACGTTATTTGGTGGAGGTATACCGGATTCGTTGCAGTGATTTATTTTATCATCGTGCTCACTTCCATTGTGTCGATTTTTTCAGGAAAATTCTCTCGTGCAGGAAATTATTTTTGCAATAATTCACCATTCAACGTGCGCACGCTATTCAAAAATTCTTTACGTCACGAGTTGTTTCCAAAGACTTTATTCAAAAGCGTTTAATTAATAATGTACAAATGACTTTTATAATTGTATCGCTTACGCGTACTATTGCCTAGCGCATATTGCAATGCTTCTCTATTTATTCGAGGAATAAGTTCGTTTCTAAGCTGTTATTAAAAGAGTGAAAGATTTTTTCTTCTCTTTTGCCGTCTCTCTTTCCCTCTTGAAAATTCACTCTTTCGAAAATACTCCCGGAAATCCTTGTCGCGCGTTAAACTAACGGCGCGGGGAAATCTCTCACAGTCACTTATTACGGGCACTTGAAATTTTTCGGCCTCTTCTCCGCCCGTCCCCCGTTAAGAGGATAAAGAACTCGATTCGCGGAGCCGACTCTCATTTTCGCCTTTAGCATCCGGGTTTTTTTCTTTCTTCCTTTTCCTTATCCGACGGTCCTTCGCAAAGGAAGTCTCCTTGGCGAAGCGCCCAGCGAATCGTTCTCTTTGAGGAAGGCTTCTCGCGAATTCTCCGCGCAATTCCTTGTTGCTTTGACTCGTGGAAAAAATTACAAAGGCACGTCAATTGACGGTGCGCCACTCCGAAGTTATTTCCGGCACGAATTTACCTGCCGTGAATATGGCATTTATCGTTGATTAAGAAGATTAGACGCGCTTCTAAATTATATAAGATTATAATAAGATATACAAACTATCTAAATTATATAATATTATAATAAGATGTACAAACGCGTTACGAGAACGCGAATTCTTTAACGCTACAGATTTTTCTAACGATACATAAAAAGTAGAATTCTTCATTCTAACATTAAAGATTAATTTGAATTACATTGCACAATGTATCTCCGATGCGATTCCAGTTAAATGTACACTCGACTAACGCTTAAGGCTTTTATTCCCTTAAAATTAAATCTTTGTAATTGAAAAGAGAAATTGTCTTGATACTTCCGACTTATTTTTTCAAAGGATCGAATCAAGAGATCAACAGGGGCACACCATTGTCCTCCTCCATCCTCGGCGCGATTAACGAATCAACCAATTACCGATTACGGAAAGAAGCCGGAAAGAAGGTTAAGCGAAAGAAACTGGATTTAATCGTCCTTAATTCTGTTCCGTAAATTTTCGAGAAACAGAAAGCGAGAAAAAGAGATAGCGAGAAAGAAAGAGAGAGAGAGAGAGAGGAGGAAGAGAAGGAGAGAATACGGCGACCAGCGCTTTGACCGCGCGAGTTTAATTTCAGCAGGTCTTTGGATTCGCTTAATCACCGCCCGATAATTAAGGAGGGCCCTTCGGTGCCGACAACGACGACGACGACGACAACGATGACGACGGCGACGAGAACAACTTAATCACACCTTTTAATCGGCACACACACGCGCGTGTTTCCCGAATCTCGGATAAACGCGGATCGCGCTTTCGCCGCCGATTAACCCAATGCGAGGTCCAGAGAGCGAGCCGAATCAAGTATAAAGATAATAAAAATGCAACGTTTGAAAAGGTACATGAAATATATTACGTAATAAAAATATTCCACTGTTAGATTTATTATTAGTCAAATCTAAAGTTGACGAACTATTACTAACTCGTTTACGTTTTTCAACTCAGGATTTATATTAAAAAAAAAAACTAAAACATATTCTGTATAAAATGATCAAAAAGATGATTGTATGAGTCTACAAACGTCGTTTATAATCCAACCTTCAGTTTTCATATTCGCTTTTATGAAATTATTATCGGAAAGCTTCAGCCTTCGTCCTTTTGTAAAAAAAAGAGAGAGAGAGAGATAGAGAGAGAGAGATCGAATATAAATGGTGGTCTGAGAGCGGCGCGCGTTGCCGCTTACGTTATGAAAAGTCGCGTTACTGGCTCGCGATTTAATTGGCTGGCGATCGCGTGGCACAGTCGATCGGGACAGAGGCGAAAGCGAGGAGGGCCCCGATTTAATTGAGCTGAATGCACCGCCGGACGCGGCGGCGGCGGCGGCGGCGGCACATCCAGAGGGAGAAAGAGGCGCTCTGATCGATAAAGTGTAATAAATATAATTACAACGAGGGTGGAGGAGGTGGTGGGAGGGGCGGAGGAGAGATGAGTTTTTTTTATTCCCTCCTGCGCGCGAGTGGAAAACGCGGAATTTATTATCGGGCGCACGAGCGCACGAGCGCGACCGTAAAACATCAGAGATTATAATCAATCTCGCCGATGATGATAAAAACCGCGCGCTGAGAGGCAAATTATTGTCACGTCGCATCGGCGATGTATTTTCCATTAGGTCGAGCAGGCCCGGATAACGCAATATAGCCGGCGCAAAATTACACGCAATTCTCAAAACGTTGTTAGAGCAATTTTTCGAGCAGTTATAGAAACATCGATGTTCAAACCTACAGTTTTAAATGATAGCAGAAGAAGCATTATAGGAATTTTGTAAATGCGCAAGTGCACACCTGTTCGCGTATTATATACAGTATTATTTGTCAGAAATTAAGAAACGGTTTTCCGTTTGCAAATTTTCATTAAATATTATATTCTTGCAAATGCAATGTTATATATTTTGATAATTAAAATGCGTGATTTTCCATTAATATTTCCAATGTACAGAATATTTCGTCTAATAATATCAATTTACACTTTATCCTAATATTATAATTAAGACTTGAATATTAAGATTATATAAACGAGATTAAGATTGGATACATCTACAGTATTTCGTGATGCTTAATCCGGTGATAATCTCTTTTCCAGAATGGATGGGCCGGCGGTGCTGTCGATGCCGCCGTTAACTTCTTCGCAGAAATCGGCGCAATCGCCGCAACCGCAATCGCATCCGAAACAGAATCAGGTAACGCAGGGACACGAAAATGCATCTACCTTGAAATTGATTTTGGATTTAAAATTCTGGAAATAACATAAATCCAACATAAAAAAAATTGCTCACGCGATGAAGGAGCAAAGAAATTTTGAGAAAGGAACTTTTTTATACGAATAAAACTAAATAATACTATATATAATTTAGAACTCTTAAAATTATATAACTGTATCTTGGATCTGTAATCCTTTTCACAGACAGAAATCTAATATTACGTGATAGACATGTCGATTAGACAATCGAGTTGGGTATAACTATTAGAATAATTTCATGAATTGCCAGACTTGTTTGCGGCAGTCGTAAACAGATAAAAGATCAAAGTTAGTAGGGGGGGGGGAGGGAGAGAACGTTATCACGCGATGCGCCCGAATCAGAGAGGGCATCGTAGTACATCTAAACTGATAGGAGTTGCAGGTGGGTACCGTGTCGCTTTATGGGATCCACATCGTGTCGCTGGTGATCGAGGGGCAGGAGCGACTCTGTCTGGCGCAGATCAGCAACACCCTGCTGAAGCAGTTCAGCTACAACGAGATTCACAATCGCCGGGTGGCGTTGGGCATCACCTGCGTGCAGTGCACGCCGGTGCAGCTGGAGATACTCCGCCGTGCCGGCGCGATGCCGGTGTCCTCGCGTAGATGCGGCATGATCACCCGCAGGGAGGCGGAACGCCTCTGCAAGTCCTTCCTCGGCGACAACGCGCCGCCCAGGTCGGTGCAAGACTCAGCCCGCGACTATCGTAAAATTGCAAAATTTTTGCGAAAGAACGTGCTATGCCTTATCGAGAAACGCAACAAAAAATATTGCGGAATAATATACTCATTTTAATTTATAAAAATATGATATACGATTAAATTCATAGACAAGGCTTATTTAAATTTGAATATTTATAGAGGAAAAAGAAAATATATATTATTTTATATACATTTTTAGGCATTTATTAATTATTATCTTCAAATTTTTGAAGACCATTAATTTTGTTTTACTTCGCTTCTCGATACCTAATTGTATAAACATTCGCACGTATATGATACGCCTTGCAGATTGCCCGAAGATTTCGCGTTCTCCGTTCACCACGAGTGCGCCTGGGGCTGCCGCGGCGCCTTCCTGCCCGCCCGTTACAACAGCTCGCGCGCCAAGTGCATCAAGTGCGCGTACTGTGGCCTGTTTTTCTCGCCGAACAAGTTCATCTTCCACTCGCACCGTATCGGCCCGTCGGACAAGTACGTGCAGCCGGACGCGGCGAACTTCAACTCGTGGCGCCGGCACATGAAGCTGTCCGGCACCCAGCCGGACGAGGTGGTGCACGCCTGGGAGGACGTCAAGGCGATGTTCAACGGCGGCACCAGGAAACGCCTGTTGGGCAACTCGCACAGCTCCCGGCAGTCGCCGAGTCCGGCGAAGCAGCCGAGATCGTCGCCGACCGGCGCCGCGCAGATTCCGACCACCTTGATGCCGACACCGGCGCATCCGCGCGTGCCGCCGTTCCCGGAGCTGCCGCTGCCGCTGTCCCGCAGCCTCGTCATGGACTACGTGTGGCATCAGCACCAGCAGGCGGCGGCGGTCGCCGCGGCCAAGACACCCAGCCCATTCGCGTTTCCGTCCTACGCCCTGCCCTGGTTGGCCAAGCGGAGTCCCGTCCTATTCCCTGGTAAGGCGAGATTCGAAAGACGAGAAACGAAATCTCTAAATGATTGAAAGAATAACGCAGAAACTTGTCGTGACTAACTTTATCAAGTCCAGCGAATGATAACTGAATAGACAATGATAAAAAGAGAATTAACTTTTTGTCTTCCGCGCCATTCAGCCTCGCTTCAGACTTTATCTGATTCTACTTTATTTTATATTCTTGTATTCTCCTGCGTCCGCGTTTTGTCTTGAGAGCTCGCGTGCAATTTTCTTTGTCAAGTTTTCCGTTAATCACTTATATACTTTTATTGGTGCTGTCTCCGTATCTGTGCAATACGTACTCGTTGCTAGTGTCATGTAACAATTATTGTAACCGCGTTGCACTAGCATTGTAACATCCTCAGTTAATCGCGCTTATATGTAGAAATAGCATTGCTTTCGTCATTTCTGCATCCTACGTTTTCGGATAGGCACTACTAGCAGCAGCATTGCTGAGGCCTCACCTTTCGTGTTCTTCTGTGAACCACTTTTTTCATAAATATACGACTAAATGACAATATCGATATAGTAATAAACTTAAATCTATTTTAAAGAACTTGTCAAAGTCAGCGTTAGAAATAAGCGATCTCTTTCGCGATCAGTGAAAAATCCATATTTTCCTGACTTATTGTTAGATTATTGCTCAATTGACTAGTTCAAGTACTTATGATAATCATTTTTATCTATGACGTTAATCAAGTATTTGTTCGTTAAATCATCGACAGATGAATGGCCATCGGACATGGGATCATTAATCATATTTTCCACGCTTTTCCACGTCCGGAATATAAAGCTATTCGTAAGACTGAGATCGTAAAAAAAACTAGTCATAAAGTGTCCACTATTACCTTATCTACGATTATTATTTCTGTGCAATTGATCTTGAATGATGATCGATTCGACCTCAATTAAGTAGCAATCGCATGCCGACGATTTTCAGGACCGCTACCGCCGCCCATAAGCGGCTCCAGCCCCACGGAACCGCTGATCCCGACCGTCAATCCACCTTTGCACCAGTCCGCGTTCCGTCCGGTGATTCGCGGGCCGCCCCTCGTCGAACCGGCGGTCATACCGGAGCGACCGGCGGACGTCGGCCAGAAGGAGGACAACTCCGACGACGAGGTCGACATCGAGACGACGGAGGACGACCCGGTGACGCCGCTCAACGCGAGCCTTCAGAATCTTCACTCGGCCTCGAACTCCGCGATGAGCAGCCATAGCGGACGAAGTACGTCGCCGCAGTGCTGGAGTCCTCCCCGAGAAACGGTGAGTTCCGTGATCTGGAAAAAAATATCTGAAAATTTATCGGAAAGTTTGCGAGATTTATAGAGAAACGAAGACACGTTCTTGTACGTCCTTTCTCTCTTTCGCGAAAATAAAACGAAAGGAATGCATAGATTAGTCAAACAAACCGGGTAAAGAGATTCTATTTGTATTCCACTTGTACGTAACATTCTACTTGTTACGAAGAGGAGCACGATGCACCTCTCGTTACGATTGCCTCTCGAGAAAACCGGCGGCCCGGTCGCCGTCGCGTGCAACGGTCGATCGCGTGCATAGCGCGGCACGCTAAGCGTTATAAGCGGCGTGATTGTGTTTGTCGGGCATGCACGATTACGTCCTCGTACGGCGACAACGGGGGAGGATTCGCCACGAACGTGTTTCCAGAGGGGATGGGTGATATCGCCGCTTATCGTCGAGTGTTTGCGATCGGCGGACCGATAATGGTTCGCGCCGCTGCGAGAGAGTGATCGCACGTGCGTTTCGACCGGCCAGCACGTGGCGGCCGCGCATCGTAACGCGGATCGCGTCTTGAACAATTGTCTTCGAGTCCGCATCGATCGCGACGATCCACTTCAAATTGATTACATGCATTCAGGAAAATAATTATGCTTTAATTAATCAGGTTCTTGCGTACATTCTAAAATCATAACTGTATTATTTTTATCAGGAAAACGATCACAAGTTCGACATCCGCGTTGATATAATTTTTAACGACTTTTTGCGTAGGCGATGAGACACATAAATACGTTAAATTGCTGTTACTATTATTCAGGAAAAGCTGTATTTGAGAATAAAAATCAAAACGATTTTATTAAAAAAAAAAAAAAGATAAAACATTTAACACATAGTAATTGAAGAGAATCTATAATATCTAAAAATTATATAAATAACCAAAATTGGAGAACTTTATATGAAGAAAAGAAAAGTGAGAGATCTTAGGAAATTTTAGGACTAAATTAATTCTCTAAAAAACATTAAGTTTAAAATTACGTAATATATTTAAAGGAAAAACTAACCGCCTCTATTTATTTGTGCAAATAACTCATGTAAATAACAAACAGAAATTGATATGAAAATTTTATTCTCTCTTTTTGGGGAGGATTCACGTTATCGTCAGACTGCATAGCATGACAACCGTCGATTCCTATTCCCGAGAAGCAATTTATTACGGCGTGACTCTTATTCACTCGCTGGTGAGTGAATAAAGGTACACGTCTGCGCGGTTTAATAACGGAGTATGTTTGCATTGTAAGGAAAGTAGCTCCGCACCCCCGCGTAATGCATGACCGTGCGCGGACGTGCGTCCTCCCCTGTAAACGGCCAGCGAAATATTTTCCCGCAACACGACACCCGAACGGCAAACAAACTACCGCCGCAAAGTTAATCGAATTAACGTCGCATCCGACGCTCGCTCGTTTAATCGAGTCCACCCCTCCTCCTCGAGAAATCGCTTGCCGTACACACGAAATGAAGTATTTAGGCTACGCAGCCGGCCGGGAACCGGCTGATTTCTCGCGTTCCCCTTCGCTCGAGGGGTCCTGGAATCGGCGTCTTTCTTAGCTAGGAGTTTAAACGCGACAAAGCGCGAGTTAAACAATACTCCACTTCTACACCGCGCGCGGAGGTAGTTATTAAGCGTAAAGTGCGATCCAATAATTAACTAAGAGTACTTTATTCTTCGCTTCAACTGAAAGCAACCTTCGTGTGAGATTTTGTTATCACACGACATATTAAGTATTAAACAATCGTGATAGAAACGGTATCTTCTCATCAAGCTCTTTTACCAAGGAAAAAGATCGATATCGCCGCGCTTATCGGGGGGTGGTTTAATATCAAAGCAAACTTTGCAGTACACCCACGTGTGTCCGATCGATCGCGAATCGGTCACATCGGACACCGCGTCCGGTCTAAATAATAAGCCGCCTTCGTGAACGATCGACGGGATTCGCTTCCTTAATCCGTCTTTGATGTTGCGGTAACCAGCGGCATCATCATTACCGCGTTGACAACGTTCACTGGGGGTAACCCATGAACGCCATGTGTGCGCGCGCGCTCGCGCGTGTATCGAAAGCGCGTTCGTTTAATCGTGTCGCACGTCGTGTTCCCGTAAGTGTGCGTCCGGGTCGCGCGCGTTTTCGTTTGTACACGCGCGCGCGCGCGCGGGGGAGGGTGTTTACCGACACAATAATTATCGCGATTGATGATGACGAGGGGGTCACCCACCACCACCGCACCGCCAGCGCACGAGCAGTCAGACCGCAGAGCAAATTCTAGGGACGGAGTCGAGTAGTATTACGTTGCTGCTAGGATGTAAATGGCCGGGGCGGGCCACACGTCGCTACAATAATTCTGCCAGGCACCCAATTGCCGCCGCCACCGCCGCTGCCGCCGCCGCCACCGCCGCTGCCGCCGCCGCCGCCGCCGCGCCGGCTCGTTACCGGCTAAATTGCCGCGGAATAATTAACCCGAGCACCGTCGAAAATTCCACCGACGACCTCGATGTTAATTGCCGCGTCGCTGCTTTATGCTCCGGCACGTAAATATACGCGTAATGATTATACGCGCCGATATTATATCGAAAGGAAAATGGAAAATATACATGTGGAAGTCATGAATTAATTCCTTTCTAATGGAGAGACATTAATTTAAGCCGGTCAAAATTTCTCGTTAATTTCTGTTAATCGCGATGCTTTCCACGGCTCGTGTCAAACGAGTCGATAGAGTGTTTATCTCGAGATTTCTTTCTTACGATTTTAAGTTATTCTAACTTAAAAAAGATTACAAAGTTGATACAGATCTGTGTGTCCAAAGTAAAATCTGGAAAGCGTATCTTCCGAATTGTTTTTTTTTTTTTCAAGATAGACTGTTTATTCTCTTTGCGCGCAGATCCCTCAATTAAAAGCACCCTCGTTCTTTTCGCTCGAAGCTGCTAGAATTAAAGGGTTAATGCCGGTCTACACTCGAGCGGAATAACCGATTAACGTATCTTTCGTCCGTTAAAAAAAATGTAACTAGCGAAGTGGTCCTAGTGTAGTTTATCGGCACTCGAAGACGTTAATCGGCCGCCGTGCACGCTCAAGAGAGAGACCGAGACCAGCGAAAGGGTCGTTCTCCCTTGAACGAGTGGTTGCTGGGAGGAATAGAGCAGAGCCTGCGGGAGAAAAGAGAAAGAGAGAGAGAGAGAGAGAGAGAGAGAGAGAGAGAGAGAGAGAGAGAGCAGAAGAGACGACGGGGATAGACCGGGATAAGCCGTCCGGATTGCCAGACAGCTTTTCAATTCCCCTTGTCAGTGAACGTGTCGAGTGGGACGTATTTTGTCCGGAATCTCTCTCTTTCTCCCACTTCCTCTCTTGCAATCTCTACGCCACTCTCTCCTTCTCCCTTGCCATGGCTGAGAAGCGTGTACATATACACGAGAGATATTTGTCACAAAGGTACAGACGATTTTCTCTCTCTCTCTCTCTCTCTCTCTCTCTCTCTCTCTTTCTCTCTCTCTATACGTCAGATAGGAAGTGGAAACCTAGTTACTGCACCATGGGCCACGATGGAAGGACCCAGAGTATACCGAAGTACAAGTGTATCGCGGTAACTGAGTAATCCCCGAACGTTATTTGCAGTTATTTCTCGCTTCGCTAGCTAAACTGAGAGAAAGAGAGAGAAAGAGGGAGAGAGAAACGAAGAGAACGATATTTTCATTTTCGCAACATCTGTGAATCTCTCACTGGCAGGTATATGTGTGCCGCAAAGCTGTCCCTTCTTCTTTCAGAACTGTAAATTCGGACCTTGTTGCCAAGACACAATGAGATATCCGAGCTATCGTTAATTACAAAAATACCAAGCTTCAAAGCTTCAAAATGCTCGAGATCAGCTTTATACTTTGTCACGAATTTTTGTAAACGAATAGTAAAAATTTGTTGTACATTTGTTATTCTACAATTTTTAATTGACAACTTTATAATGAACAAAGTTTATTCGTCAGTCGTAACTTTCAAAATACTCTTTAACTTTAATCATTAAATTTTTTATAAATCGAGTTAAATGTATAATTGATCATTATTCACCGAACTTACAGTAAGTTCTTACTAAATCAAGATTGGTTTCAAATTAATGAAAGATAAAGGATTAGCATGTGTTTTTAAAATTGAATTCGAATGAAAAGCTGTTCGATTTTCACTTGATAACCGTGCAGTTATATTTTTCCTTTAAAAGGACATATTTTTTTAGACCATCAACGGTTGATACACAGCTTTGTACATCCATGTTCATTACAGCGCAGCGATACTTCTCTGCTGTAATTTTAACCGCAGCCCCCGCTTTCGAGGCAAAAGTAAATCGTCGCCGATCAATTAAGATGTTTCACTCGATTCTGATTACTGAAAGTCCGAATCCGCGCCGGGTGAGACGGACTGAGGTAAACTCCCTTCGGTCGGGCTTGCCGGGTTACGAAAGCAACGAAGATGGAACCTCTCGCGGAATTTCCTCCGCCATCCATTTAAATGCAATTAAGCAACGTCACGTAGGAGCGTAACGGGGGTCGGAAACGTTTAAATCAAACTACGGCTGGTTTAGTTAGTTTCGACCGCAACTTTTAATTGCGCCTCGACCGTCTGGAGGGCCATTAAATTCCGGAAGAGATACGTTACTTCTTTCCTCTTCCTCGGCACGTGACAGTTTTCGCATTCTTGTACGCGACTCTCTCTCTTTTTCTCTTTTCCGGAAGAATCGCGAATGTAATAAAATATATATCCTTAATCGTTCAAATCTCTCTCAAAAGCTTAGTTTGCAAGCGAAATGTTTTAATCACGAGCTGAATAAATTTCAAGAATTCGAGAGAAACTTTTTTACTTGTTACATCACTTTTATGTACACATATATATAATTTTTTTAAATTTCATTCATGCGTTAAATAATTTTAGTACATTTTTGACACAATTTTTAATACACTCAACTTTTTCCCTTCAATTTTAACACTTTTTTTTAAA